AAAATTGAAAATAAATTGAAAATAGCTAACCGAAAATACTGACACAGCAAATTGAAAACAATACAAATGGAGCAAATTGAAAACAATAGTAATACAGAAAATTGAAAATAAATTGAAAATAGCTAACCGAAAATACTGACAGAGCAAATTGAAAACAATAGTAACACAGAGAATTGAAAATAAATTGAAAATAGTTAATCGAAAATACCGACACAGCAAACTGAAAACAACACAAATAGAGCAAATTGAAAACGATAGTAACACAGAAAATTGAAAATAATAGTAACACAGCTAACTGAAAAGAATAGTGACACAGCCAAATTGAAAGCAACACAAATACAGCAAATTCAATACAATAGTAACACAGAAAATGGAAAATAAGAGTAACACAGCCAATTGAAAAGAATAGTGACACAGCCAAATTGAAAGCAACACAAATACAGCAAATTCAATACAATAGTAACACAGAAAATGGAAAATAAGAGTAACACAGCCAATTGAAAAGAATAGTAACACAGCAAATTGAAAATAATAGTAACACAGCCAATTGAAAAGAATAGTGACACAGCCAAATTGAAAGCAACACAAATACAGCAAATTCAATACAATAGTAACACAGAAAATGGAAAATAAGAGTAACACAGCCAATTGAAAAGAATAGTAACACAGCAAATTGAAAATAATAGTAACACAGCCAATTGAAAAGAATAGTGACACAGCCAAATTGAAAGCAACACAAATACAGCAAATTCAATACAATAGTAACACAGAAAATGGAAAATAAGAGTAACACATCCAATTAAAAAGAATAGTGACACAGCAAATTGAAAGCAACAGTAACACGGAAAACTGAGAACGATCCAAATTACAGCGAATCGAAGAAAAATAGTATCACAGCAAGCTGAGAATTATCCTAACTGGTGAATTCCAAGACCAATTCAACAGACAAACTGTTCAGAGAATTCAGTTCAAGAAACAACCGCGAGTCTCGCGGCAGAGAAAATTTGGAGTTCGCCGCAAGATCATTGAACCAGGCAAAAGCGACGCGATAACGGAAGGCACTGCGAGTTATTCTGAACCGTGAATCGAATGTCCGCTCTAATTTTAAATTTCAAATATTTGAATACGGCGTCGGCGGCGCTCTACGATTATCGGCGAACGAGACAACAGGGAGTTTTGGTTATTTACCGACAGCTTTCGCGAGGTAGTTCGACGGTGAGGGCGCAGCGCCGTCGAATCAAGGAGGAGTAGTCCCGGTCGGTAAATCGAAGTCAGGCCCAGTAGTCCCCCCCACTAGCGGGCCTGCAGGCTGGGGGCTCTGCGTTTATCGATGCAGGGCCTTGCTCCCACTAGGCTTGAACGGCACGAGACCCCGCCCGGCAGGTCTTCAAGGCCCAAATAGAAGAAGAAAGACAAACGTAAGCGTAAGCGTGGACGTAATGCAGCCGGTCGGCCGGCGATTGACCCTGAACTTCAGGCGGTGCTTGTTAACAGTAGCAACACCGACGCAGATGTATCAGCAACGATTTCCTTATTCAGCGATTTTCTTCGTGAGAATCCACCGGAAGATTATGTCGCTCGCCGAGCAACCATCCCGCACGATGTTCTGCCATAATTCTCGCCCAAGGGCCGATTTAGCACCTTAACGACGCCATTCGTACGAAACACGGACTCGTATTTTTCATTCGTTGATTCGAAAATAACGTTATAATCTTAATAACATTATATTCATTTTATAACATTAGAATAATATTGTTGTCTTATAAATATGTTAATAGAAAATTATATTATTATAAAATATATATATTTTTTTAATATATAATTATTATTTATTAAAATATATATATATTATAAAATTATATTATTATATATTATTGTATGGTATAATTGCGATAGATTATTTTGGACGCAACTAGGTTTCCTTATAAATTCAGTTATCAGTGTAGCACGATTCTACAGCCGCTGTAAATCGCTTTAGAGCACACTATATAGTTTAGATATTCGATTAGTAATCAATATTATACAAGGTTTTCGAGCTGAAGGAGGCCACTTAAATATCTGTTATTTTTGGAAATATCGAAAAACTTTACTAACCCGCTAACGATAAGATATCAATCTCCAACACATACTTTATTATTATGAATCAAAATGACCCCCCATTCGTCTTCCAAGGATTAATAAAAGTCGTTCGATTCACGGAGATCTATAATATGGCGGGAATAATATTTTTGCAACTAGAGAATTTTTAGAGACTTCAAGATCATCTTCGCTGTTTTAATTATTATCATACATTTTTTTTATACATTGATATGATACAGTTCGACATTTCCTATAAAGAGTACTAACCTCGACAAAAAATTACTAGTTTTGGTAGACATTTAATGTTATTTTTCCACGAAGGTACATGTCGGATTTGTGAAAATCTTAATGTACGCAATGTGCACTTCCGAGCATAGCGAAATCCACGTTAAAAATCCACAAAATTAAAGTTAAAATATCTGCTGACTAATTATAATTAAAGGAACACGCGAACATTCTTTATGGATATTAATTCTTCGATCTTTTATTCCACTCGTTGTTCGACTACCAACATTATCGTACGTATTTGTACCGTTGCATTTAGTATTACTAAAAGTTTGAATCAGTGGCTGCAGTATCACACGATATCACACTGATAGCTAAACTTAAAAAAAAAAGAATGTAACATAGACCCCCATTCGCGAGGTTCCCATACAATTCTTCTTTCTCTTATCTCTTCTATGCTATAGTGGATGCAGCTGCGTACACTATATATTCACCCCGTCGAATTATTTATTTGATTGTTTATGTATCGCCGTCGGAAATCGGTCGCAGTATTTCTTCCTCCGCATCTGTCCTGGTATTGCAGCGAATTCTATAGTCGGATCAAAGTCAATTGGTCACTTAAAATCATCTCTCTCCAACCGTGAATGACATCATAAACTAGTGCTCCTATTGCGGCCGCATTATGCATCCTGATTTTCTTTAAAGTAGTGGGTCAACAGATTTCGTGAGAGAGAAAGAGCATCGCGACGCCGAGATACAACAAATGAACCGTTCTTTCAGAAAGTTTACACGTTCGCTGGAACGCGTTCGCTGCAGTCTCGCGCGCTTACTCCAGATTTAAATCCTTTCTCGCCGCTTCTTCGTAATGATACGAAATTATTGAAACGAGAGTCGAGCCGCGCGGCGACGCACGAATGCCATTTTTGGCGAAAAACTCCGCCGCGGTAGTTATCGCGCGGTAACGTCCAATTTACGTGAGTGGTTTTCGATCGATTCCTTCGGTGCTAACGCGCGTCGTGTAGTACTTGCAGTAATCGTCATTTAACAAGGCGCACGGTGGCCGAAAATCTACAAAACGTGGGAAAAATTTGTTAACCACGGGGCGGCAATAGGTCGCAGCTTTATTTTACCACGATCTTCCTGTTTGCGTCTACTTTGAACTGGACAAAAATTCAGTAGGATTCGTAGAGCCTTAATTATTTATGTTTTTATTTATCTTTCTAACGAAAATAAAGTATTTACTGCATTGAATAATGTCTATACGATAAGACGTATACATAGTATTATATTTAAGATAAATCAAATAAAACTTGCGCGTACTAATAAGCAATAAATTAAATCGTAACAAATAGTAATGCTAAAATTGTACACGAAAATTGTAAAAAACGGAAACCAATGTTTTTTCTTAAGTAGCATGTACTGCAACTGTTTCTGATGTCAGTTTTTGTATTTAAATTATATTGTAATTTACTTGTACCTATTTGTATTATAATCTTACCACAAACATTTTTTTAAATAATATTTCCACTGTAAAATGAACTTCTGCAACCTTTTGTGATGTTTGTAAAATTTCATCATAGATTAAAGAGAATCGATGAGAATTCAACAACAATTGACACAATAATAAATTATTATTAATAAAATAATAAATTATAATAAAATAATAAATAATAAATTATTATTAAATAAGTGTACTTGAAATCGAGCTATTAGCTATTGAAAACTATATTGAGAACGTTAAATGATGTGTGCGATCGCGGCAGTGTAGGTGAAACGGCTCTGAGGAGAATTCTTAGTTTTCCTTAACATTTTATCCACCAGAAGCCTATTAATAGAATTTTCAGTTACAGTGTGAAACTAAGAAAAATCTAAACAATCTTCTTATAGATGATAATCCTAAAGGAAGTTATTAGATAATGATAGTCGGTTAATCAGTGTCACTGAACAATGTATTAACCTTCTATAGACCAACATTTTTATACTAGTTCAAAATAATTGAATGCATCTTTAGATATAAACTGACAACGAATTTACAATTTTCAAAAACGATGAATGCAATCTATCAGACTGCGGATCTTTATGCAAAATAAAAATTCTCCAGGGCGATTGTAAGAAACAGAAATTAAATAAAAATAAATTGTTTCTTTTAATCGTTTAGATATGTTGGAAATACTGTGACAGTATCATTGAATTCATAATTTGTCTTCGTAATTTTATATTTGAGCTACTCATTTTTGTCATAAATGCATCAAATCCTCAGTCTAATCATCACATTTACCGATGTGTTCAGTAAGGTCGACAAATTGTTATGCTCTCCTTGATTATGAAAAAGAAAACAAGAAAACATTGTGACTAAAAATTAAACGAATTAAAAAGAAAACATAAAACAGTACATGACTTCAAAGTTACAGCGAGCTCTAGTAGGTTAAGAAGTTTTTAATTAGAAATTGTAGATTCGCGGAAATTATGAAATCATCGCCGGCAGATAATGTGGGCAGCGACTAGTCGCGACCGTGGTTCTGTCGAAGCGGAAGTGCTATGAATACGCGGCCATGCTGACATAATTTCACTATTTCCCTGAAATTCTCATCTGAATCAACATAACACTCTCATTCGATTATCTTCCATGCTTTGTCGTTCTAATTCTAATCAGAATGCAGAACCAATACAAATAAACACGTGAATTTTTGTTATAGAAAGCGGCCGTTTAGTTTCCATCGACCTGATATCAAAGCGTCTAACATCGTAGCCTTCGATCTTCAATATGTCCCTCGTAAGGATACCATTATTATTTTGCTTCTAAATATAGTTTTAAGACTGGCACTGAAACGTACCGCACACGATCTAAAACCTGACCGAAGGAAATGCTTTACGTAACGACAGCCCGTTCACGTGGTCAGGAATGATCGTCGGCAGAAGAAAGCTATTGACCTTGGATATGCCTAACTTTTGCTTCCCATAACAGGAGTGTCTATCGCTGTGAAGCAACTTTCGTAATTCTCAAAGCTATTTGCCTTTCTCTTTCGCTCCTGTGTTCTTTACTTTTTCATTAACTCGGAGGTCCGCGTTCACTACCTGCGCGACCCGCGAGCATCCCGCGTTACGAAGAGAACTGGCACTCCGATCGACAAGGTGTCGAAACGCGAAGAGGCTTCTCATAGTTGCTTCGAAACTTCGTAAATGACAATCTCTGGACACGTAATCCGTCTAACGCTCGGACGGCGCACGGCGGAGCAAAGTGACGTGAAGTTGTGTAAAAATCGAACAACTTTTGACAGAGATCGGATAAAGCGATGACTTTTTTCACGTCGAAGCTGAAATGTTGCAAAATGAGAGAAAAATAGAGGGAATGTAATATGAACATATTTTAATCTGGAGAAAAAAGCAAGTTTTGTTTTACACGTAGACGTAATTTTTTCCAATAGACAATGTCAATAATCGACGATCGTCACGATTTCAACCGACACGATTTCATCGACGCCGCATTTTGCCGACAGTATTATTTCACCGACACGTTTGGATGTCCGACAATCACCTCGACGACGATCATTTCACCGATAATCATTTCACCGACACGTTTAGATCTTCGACAATCACTTCACCGACACGAAGTTTTTCGTCAACAGTTGTTTCACGACAGCTAGATTCGTCGACAATCATTTTATCGACACTGAATTTCGTTGATAATTTTTACTTGTTATTTCTATTTCATAAAAAAAAAACATCAATGCAAATGATATCGTAAACGTTCGTTCTATTTACAATCTTATTCTATTCACATTATTAATAACAAATAAATAGATAATGTACTATAAATTTTATTAAGTTTATTAAATAATTGAAATAAGAGAGAGAGAGAGAGAGAGTAAAATAAGTGAAGTAATTGGAAATAATAAACGTGTAACAATAATTGACGGTGATTTCAACGAGTCCCATTTGGTCCATACTCTTTTAACCCTTTCAACCCTTGATAGTTTAGACTTTTTGAAAAAATCGTTTCTCTTTCGAACAAGAAAATTCAGTTACAATTTTGATGATGATCAATTATTATACCTTTGACTTGTTTTCAGGCAGACATATTAAATTTTCTTATTAAAAAACAAACAGTATCAAAGAATACTTTATATTTATCGAATAAAACATATTAAATTTTCTTATTAAAAAATAAACAAAATAAGAGAATGAAAAAATTCAAAATTAAAAAATAAACAAAATAAAAGAATACAAAATTTAGTATATCTTATTCGATGAATATAAAGTATTCTTTTATTCTGTTTATCTTCGAATGACAAATTTTTCTGGAAAATTATTGACTTCTTTGTTCAAGCATATATTACAAAAAAAAAAACGAAACAAATGAAATCTCCGCTTTTACGAGACGTGACAAGATCAATCACTTTTATTCCTCGGCACGGATTAGTCGTCAGAAACAGAACCGTCGATCCCGCATAAATAAATCATGGGAATATTGGAAGAAAGTGGCATTCGCTAATAGTCGGTTAAGAGGCTGGAATCCGCGTCCTCCTCGTGACTTTTACTCAAGGTCTTCCTTTCCAATTCGATCGAATCACTCATCGAAGGTTACGCTGATGAGTATCTCGCTCTTGTGTCACAGCGCGGGATATAATGGTGGCAGTGATTCGCGAGCGTTTCATAAACCGATCGTTTTCGCAGCGGTGCCGCCGTTTCACGGTCCGGTTGATCCCGATAATAATTCGACGGCGATCGAGGGATCCCGTTGGCAGCCTTTTGCATCCTTAGATCGCGATCGATCTTCTCGCGCGGCGCGGCGCGGCGCGGCGCGCCGGCAGCGACAACTCCGGAGAAAAAGGGGAGCGAAAGTTTCTCGCTCGCGATCATGAGTCCCGATCGTGAAACTCATTGTGCCTGGAACACGTTTGACATTGCGGAACGCGTCGATGCTTACGGCATTGGTTTCATAATATTAATTATACTTCTGCTGCTTGTTGGGAGTACAGCGTGAAATCAAACTTTCTCTCCCGTGGTTCCCTTGGAGACACGAAGGAAACGAGCGCGATCGGGCCCCCGGCCGGTTCGATTCTCGATCGCCGCGCTCGGTATCGGATGTCAAATTTATTAAAACGGTATACTATAAGCCGGGATCGCCTGGAATGTTCTGGCTTGTTTATCGTTGCGTCACCGGCACTTATAGAGCGACACGTGTACACGGCGATTTGTTATAAATAAATCATATTGTGAACCGTGCACAATTTGTTGCCGACGCCTCGGGCGGCCACGTAATTTATTCCACGACGCGGTCGCGTTTACCACGTTATTTTCTAATCGCGAATTAAATTGCACCACCGTGTGCCGGTTACATGACTCACGGACGATCTTCGACGTTTTACTCCTACAAGCGGAAATTTCGCGACGGATTACCGCGATCCGCCAGGGTTTTCCCTACCGTTAGGAGGCCGTTAACGAGCGAGATCGCTTTTTATTAGATTGTTTCAAACCGGCGCACGATTCTCTGTCAGGCTGCTTGCTGCACGCGGAACGTCCCGTTGCATAAAAGCTTTCCTTGCTAATTGACTAACCCTCCTATGGTGTTCACTTAATTGCTACATTCTTGTCTGCGGACTAAATCAGAGATAAAGGAAGAAAGAAAAAAGGTGTAGCAATCTGTAATCGCATTCAAATGGATGGCAAGAGTTAACATTTATTTACAAATGCCGCAAGTAATACGAAAAGTTTGTAAGGAGGTCGCATCGACGCGAGTACGGAAGGTTAATGAAAAATAACGCCAGATGACATTTACCGTACGTGAAAATTCGCATTGCAATTAATGAGCACTAAAAGCTCGTTAGTCTACCTCGGACAGATAACGAGACCGTACTTCTTCATATTTTTGCGTAATATTTTACATTAATATTACAATATACTAACGAATGAGTTACATTAATTTCATTCTGCAGAAATGTGAAATTCTCGTTCCTTTTGTACTATTAGTTTGTATAATCATTTTGTATAATTATTTTGTATAGCTGAGTATGACCGATTTAATTATTGATCCCAGATCAGAGTTTTTTTTTAAATTTAATAGTCGTTTTTCAAGAATACGCCCGAGGACGTAGATATTTTCCAAAAAGGATGATTGCACTTATCTCTTAACAAATCGTATTCAATTTAATAACAACGTGTTCACTGAATGCTACACAATGTTGAGTTTATCAATGCATTGCATTACTCACCGATGAATCTGGCTATGAGTGATACCGTTGATTTCTTTTCCCAGAAAGATAATAACGTTCGTTTTTTGTCACCGATTCATTTTTCCATGTAGCGAATTCAATTCGGACCGCGACGTTAATAATTAGATTGTGGATTTTATGGATTCGTGAGAAAAATTAATAGATCAAATACGAAATGATAAAGGAACTAGAAGAATTTAACTGAATTTAACTGAATCGATCAATTTTTAAGATCAATTTTGTACGCGTTTGATCGATCGCGCTGGGTGAAATTTCTTTCGGCAAGCTGTTCTAGATTCATTCTAATATATGTGAAATTTATGAACGTGTTTCACAAGCATCTTAACCTGAATCGTAGGAGAAGTATTTTTGTTATAAGATGTAAAATTGCCATTTCTTTATGACATGCATACACATCGTCCACAGCTAAGAGGTTAAGGATACTGTTACATTGTTTACAACCTATTACAATTATTAAAAGAGAAAAGACGCTTTCGTCTAACTTACGTTTCTTGCAATTACATTAGACTATTTTTATTTTGCACAAAGATCCGCCGTCTATTAACGATCAACCGCATCGTGTTTTCGTAAAATGCATTTTTCAAATTTTCGTTCCAGGTGCAGATATAAAAAATTAAGAAAACGAGAATTTTTCTATTTCTCTTGCCGTTCCAAGTAATAGCAAAATTACAGAAAAAGTACATCAGTCGTTCAGTCGAGTTTTAGGGATCGTAGTACAGTAAATTCTCCCTAATTGGCGCTCAGATTGTGCACAAAAATGGACAATTTCGGAAAGAGAGATACGATTAGTTATCACGATTGCGGCTCGTTTTTATAGTTGTTGATAATCGGTAACTATCAGGTCTACCGGAAAGTTCTGTCCGTTTTTGAATCGAAATATAACACAATTTTCATACACTTAATAATATTTATTGTAGAATATACTTTCCATCGTTACTTATGATTTCTTGCCAGCGCGATGGCAACTTGTAAATGCCATTTTTAAAAAATGATTTATTTTTAGAGGCGAAGAACTCGACCAGTGCTTGGTTGACATCAGCTTCGGTTTTGAATTTTTGTTCCTGTAAAAAGTTTTGCAAAGAGAGAAACAAGCGATAATCGGAGGGTGCTAGGTCTGGGGAGTATGGTGGATGCGACAGAATTTCCCGGCCTAGCTCTGCGATTTTCTGACGAGTCGCCAAAGCAGCATGTGGTCTGGCATTATCGTCGGTAGCCATGTTTTCACGATCGCGTCTCGCTTAATAATGACACGAGACATCTTTGTTTCAGTTTATTTAGGAGAGTACATGCGTGTAAATGCAATGATAAAGAGAGATGGTCGTATATGTCTCGAATCAACATGTGCATATGGATTGAAACTTGAAGTGACACTATCGGACAGAACTTTCCGGTAGACCCAATATAAAAACGAGTAACAAGGCTCGAATAATCGTACCTCCTCTACCCAAATTGTCCATTTTTCTGCACAATCTGAGCGTTGTTTAAGGAGAATTTACAGTACACAGTAGTTTCCCAAACCGGGAGATAGGCCAGTGTGGTCGTCCGGAAAATATTTTCACGAAAGCGAGCTCCACGAGCGAGCAATTTCGCAGCTTAATTACGTACGGACGAGCTATCATTAGCCAGAATTCAAGTCCTTAGCAGAAAGCCAAGCGAATGTCAGAGAAACGTGAGAAACATAATCTTGCGACACGTCACGCCTTCCGCCGTTTCCAACAGAGGCGGGGCACGGAAGGATGAAATTAGTGTAACGAAGCTGTCTTTGCATGACGCGAACCGACAAGACCGCATTACTGGGTTAAGGACGTCACACATGTTCGTTCATTACGCCGTTGCGTCAGAATTTCCACGGAAATCTGGTCATATTTTTCACCGCTATCTCCGTGCCGATAAGAAAGCAGGCCTAACAACGTACAGCCATGATTCACGTGTCACGAATACATTATCAGAATGCTCTTTCTGATCCGAAACACCGTCATCCCGTTGTTCGTTGGTCCGGTAGCCCAGATGCAATTCGTACCGGAGACTTTCGTTCACTTTCTAAGCGACTGTTTTCATTTTTGCAGACGATGTATACTGACGGTCTCCTAACACTTCATTATGGGAAGCATCCAGCGACCTTGGCCGCGGAGGTCGGAGCCTGGTACACCGGGGACCGTCACGTGGACGTGACGTTGGCTTGCGACGACGGGTCCGTCGTCAAGGCCCACCGCGTCGTTTTGGCAGCAGCTAGTCCTCTCTTGGCTGGTCTCCTCCGCAACCCCGCCTTGGACCATGTGGTCCATTTATCCGGAGTCCGGAAAACCCAGCTGACTCACCTGCTGGAATTCCTTTACAATGGAGAAGCTCTCATTCCGGTATGATCCAGCAATCCGATCGAGCAATCCAATAGAGCTAGGACTTCCATAAGAGCCGAGAATAATATTGATAGTGTATCGTATTGTCTCGAAAAACCAAGACAACATCAAGACAAGAAATTAGAAGAGTATTTTCAACACGAGACTCGAGACTCCCTAAAGCAAAAATATAAACAACTCTAGATAATATATAGCATCTTGGTCTTGTTTTCTTTTGAATTTTCAATATGACGAACATATTGTTAAATACGATACTGTGTACTTATCTCAATGCAATTAAATAATTTGAATTTTTTCGAAATTATTATTCACTTGGAAACTAGTTTTATTTCACAATTTACGCACCATGCGTGCAGCTATTCTTAAACTCAATCATACTAATCGACTTTTTCTGTCACATTGATTAGATATTTTACGAATAAGTCGTGTACAAATTAAAATATTTTAAAGAATTATTAGTTACGTGTGCTGCTAGCGCGTAGTTTCCGGTTACATTGTTGCATACAGAAATGCTTCGTTAAGTCGTTTACTTAGTTTTATCTTGAAATGTTCACGAACTCGTTTCGTTAAATAATATGAAGCAAATGTCGATAGATATATATTGAATTTATCATTGGGGGGAAACAAATTGACGCGAGACCAACATTATCGAGAAACACCAAGAAAATCACGAGACAAATTCGATATTTCCTACTCCATGAATGAAACGAGAGCAAGAGAAGATTATATTATCGGCTTTTTTTCAAGATCAAGACAATATTTCAGCAAATATCGTGCTCTCTTGTATCGTGGAAGCCCTAAATAGAGCAGATCGTCTTGCCGTCTAGGTCGCTTCTCTACGAAACAGTAACGCATCTTTCCCTTGCAGTCGACGGAACTGACGCCTTTGAGAGAGCTGTTCGAGCTTCTCCAAATCAAGTCGGAGTTGTTCGAACCGAACCAGCCCCAGACCTCCAGCAACTCGGACCCCGAGAGGATACCTACCCCTCAGCCCTCGGAGGGCCAGGAAAGCTCGAGCTACGAGTCGCAGTACGACGGCAGGTAGGTAGACTATGGCTGGTGCGAAGGATTCGTGAAATGTCACAATGATCGGCGAAGCAGATACCGCAATTTCTCAGAGAGGAAACTATTAAGATTAATTCCTACTTCTGGCTGATCTTTGCGCCAACACCGGCAGAAAGCGGCGCTTACGCAACTGATCGATTCGCCTAATGTCACTCCATCGCGCCTTTAACCCTTGCTTTCATCATTTCTGTTTCGAGTTCCCAGCGCCCGGCGCCGTCGCACAATCGTCCCAAATCTAGAAATCCTGGCCGAAACATAAAGGCGATCCGGATTTAATTGAAAATTTCCGATCGACGAGTTTTCATGGTCGCTGATTACGAATCAGCGGACTGAAAATTTAATAGAACAAAACGGAGGATCCAATGCAGCAGACGGGTATTGGATTTCAAAAAAACTGTAATAAAATCATTTGAACAAAAACACAACATGCATATGTTGTTTATACGTCTACGTTACGAAACTCCTCGAAACTTTTCTCTCAAACACTTTCGAATAACATTCCTAATACTCGAAAACTACTAACATGAATGCAATACATTCTCCCCAATTGGAAACAAAAATAGACAATTTGGGACTTACAATCGGCGACTATAAAAACGTGGCACAAGGCTCCGATAATCGTATCTTCTCTTCCCAAATTGATCATTTTTGTTAACAAGCTGAAGGGGAAAATTCGGGAGAATTTACTGTACGTTGCATTCTAGAAGGTAGTAATACAAATCGATCCATGAAAGTTTAAGCTAAAAGTCCCAACAACAATTTTGACATAACGTTCAGTTCTATGCAATTCTTTCTTCTACATTCTTACGATTTATGGTAATCCCTTACCGCTTATTTTGTTACCATCTTACACGTTTGATGTTTAACAATGTTTACAACTCTAATACCAGAAAACGTTCTATTTATTTTTACAAATAAAATTGAATAAACTATGTTTTAAAGGAATTCACAGACTGCACCGAATAAGTCACATTCGTGATCATTTTCGCAACAGCTTAACTAAAGTCTACACCGTAATTGTCGATCGGCTAAAAAAATGTGACTATTTTCTCCTACATCCCACTATTTGGCCCATAAATAAAGTATCCTAAAAACAACGGGCGACAAGTGGACTCACGAGGAAATTCGTTTTTAGAAGTTCTGGCCATTATTTAGGTTTTGGGACAACTGTGCGCTGGATCGTTCGAAGATTGCTGGCAATTTAAGATAGGGAGTAGTGGAGTCAGTTACTGTGGGGTAGCCATTTGCTGTGCCTTTAGTTTATTTTCAAGCATAATTAACTTTCTATTTATCAAATAAGACATATTAAATATTTTAATTGAAATTCAATTAATTATCTCTTTGTTAATTCTTAATCATTTTCTGTAAAGCTTATGGAAATGCTTAATAATATACTGAACAATTGAAGATCGATATTCAGTAAAGTAAATCGTTCTAGGTAAGATATCACAATGTTACCAGTATCGGTAAAACGTATTACGATTACGAAAAATCGAAGCAGTGATTATTTATTTGAATTTTTGTATTTTGTTTCAATTTCACTAGTTTATTGGTTTAACTTTTCCTTGGGGGTTTCTATTTTCTTGGCTTTCCAGTGTACGTTCGAATGAATTTCAACGAGAAAAGTCCAAAAATCGAAGTCCGGGGGGAAAAAAAAAAAAATCTATAGGAATGTAATTAAAATAAGTCCTGAATTCACCTTGACATAACCTTGAATTTAACTTTTTATAATCCAAATGACTGCTCTTTCATACCTGCACTGCTATCTAGTGGTTCTACGTTACGCGTGCTGTCATCTAGCGACGCCGCTCATTAAACTACGTTTGTGGACTAAGTACGCATCAACCTAAGATGTCAAAAACACTGGAAATTCGTCAACTATGAACGCGCATAACTATTTAACAAATGAATTTAGGACCACTACTAGATTTAGGACTTCGATTTTTGGACTTTCCTCGACAAAATTTATTGGAATGTACACTGGAAATGTAAAAATAAACTTTTCCCCAAGGAAAAGTTTAAACAATTTATTTACTGCGCACAATAACTGAACCTATTTTTCGTACGATGCGTTAGTTACTGTACCGTTTACTGCAACTTTTACTACATTAGCTCAAATCTCAAATCATTTTCGTCGTATTTTTAGGGAGTTATCTCTACTAAGAACTTTTAAAAGGCGTACGTTGATATTACATTTTTTCATTTTTTTTTCATTTATTGTGCACAATTATTGTTGCTCAGTATTCAGGGAGTAACTGATCTTTGTAGATCATAATCACACAATAATATATAATATATATGTTATAATATATATTTATTTATTATTTATTATTATATTTTATTTATTATTTATTATATAATAATTATAATTATATTTATATAATAATTATAATATATATAATAGGCTCCGGAGCTCTTCTTTCTCTCCTAAAATTCAAAGGAGATTTGATAATTGTTTGGTGGGAAAATTCATATCGATAAAAGAAACTACAATTTCTTGAGAAATCCCACGTAAATTGCTATAGTTGTTTTTAATAGCGTAAGTTTCTGACGTTCGCAAACAGGTCTCGATAATTGGTTTCTCTACTCTACGTATGATTGTAATCTGATATTTCAGGCAGTCCAACAACCCCGCGGACTGCTGCTCGGTGCTCATCAAAACTGAGGGCTGCGAGGAGGAGCCGGAAGTCGACGTGGAGGGCATCGAGGGCGAGGCGCTGCTCACGGAGAACAGGGAGAGCAATATAGAACCGCCCCGAAGGAGGGATAGCTCCGATCCTGTGAACCTCAGTTTAAATTCCGGGACCTCCACTACCAGCGAAAGTTCGCACGACATTCTACCTAGGTACGAATGGCAGTCTCTCGTGCCTAAAAGGCAGTCTCCTAGAGTCCCAGGATATCTTGATATTTGTCAGATCGGTGTCTAGCTTGAAGTACATGGAATTGATCATTTATTCCTCGACAGGCCAGAAAAACAGTTATTAGAGAGGCGAGAAAATATATTACAAAAATATATTGTTATTTATTAGTTATTTTATTTATAGTTATTTACACAGTTATTAGATGCCTAAAAGGCAGTCTTCTAGAAGTCCCAGGATATCTTGATATTTGTCAGATCGGTGTCTAGCTTGAAGTATATGGAATTGATCATTTATTCCTCGACAGGCCAGAAAAACAGTTATTAGAGAGGCGAGAAAATATATTACAAAAATATATTGTTATTTATTAGTTATTTTATTTATAGTTATTTACACAGTTATTAGATGCCTAAAAGACAGTCTCCTAGAAGTCCCAGGATATCTTGATATTTGTCAGATCGGTGTCTAGCTTGAAGTATATGGAATTGATCATTTATTCTTCGACAGGCCAGAAAAACAGTTATTAGAGAGGCGAGAAAATATATTACAAAAATATATTGTTATTTATTAGTTATTTTATTTATAGTTATTTACACAGTTATTAGATGCCTAAAAGGCAGTCTCCTAGAGTCCCAGGATATCTTGATACTTGTCAGATCGGTGTCTAGCTTAAAGTATATGGAATTGATCATTTATTCCTCGACAGGCCAGAAAAACAGTTATTAGAGAGGCGAGAAAATATATTACAAAAATATATTGTTATTTATTAGTTATTTTATTTATAGTTATTTACACAGTTATTAGATGCCTAAAAGACAGTCTCCTAGAAGTCCCAGGATATCTTGATATTTGTCAGATCGGTGTCTAGCTTGAAGTATATGGAATTGATCATTTATTCTTCGACAGGCCAGAAAAAACAGTTATTAAAGAGGCGAGAAAATATATTACAAAAATATATTTTTATTTATTAGTTATTTTATTTATAGTTATTTACACAGTTATTAGATGCCTAAAAGGCAGTCTCCTAGAGTCCCAGGATATCTTGATACTTGTCAGATCGGTGTCTAGCTTAAAGTATATGGAATTGATCATTTATTCCTCGACAGGCCAGAAAAACAGTTATTAGAGAGGCGAGAATCTCTAGAGGAAGTGGAAGAGAAGAGGAGACAACTGACGGCGCGACTCGCGTTAGGCTTAGAACCAGGAAAGCGGAAACCAGAAGAAATACCTATCCCACCTGCGGAGGCGTACGTCGTCACTCCCCATCGGAAACGAAGGCCAGGCTTTCACAATGCACCCGCTCAGAATCCGGCTTTCGTACCGTTCAATCCTGGATTCGAGACGCCGAGGCGGTTACAAGCGCCACATCCTCTCAGTGTCTCGGCACCACCGTACCTGGTACTAATTTTTGATGACATCTAACTAGCTTTGCGACGAGGACTCATTGCTTGAGAAGTGCGCACGCTATATAGAAGGAAACGCGAAAATTTCATCGCATTATATCCGGGGACCAAACATAACTGTTCGAAGAATATTTTTGGAAAAATTAATTAAGACGAAAACGTGTTCATTAGCTGGAACTATCGATCACGAAATACAAAAGATTAATAGATTTCAATTTTGTATTACAAATAATAATTAAAATTAAACAATAATCATTATCCGATGTTGTATATTTTGTTTCAGTCACTTATGATTAGGCTGCGAATTTTATGCATTTATGGTAAACTGGGTAGATTAAATTTGAAGCATTTCAAACTCTACTGTTGTATCATGTTCAACTCGTTAAGATTATTAAGCAAAGAAATATATACATCTAACTCGGCTATTTTACGATTGATACAGATAATTGTTATTTCGCAAAAAAATCCACAGTCATAATAATTTTCAATGTAGAAAATTTATTCAAATTTAGCAATCTATGTGTATAATAGTTTTATACAAGTATCAAGTACATGAAACTATACATGAATCTATGAACTATACATGCTGCACTAAAATAACAAGACTTTTAAGCAAGACTGTGCAAGCATTCGAGTTGTAGATACTTCTAACCTCTATGTAGATACTTCTAAAATTTCATGCAATGCTCACAGGAGAGTCGATCAATAGTCTAACTTTTGTTTTGAGAGGTCTATATCTTCATCAGATAGTGACTATCAGTATTAGTTTTAATATGCTGCAAGTTTCAACTAGATTGCATCAGCCAATCATATACTATAGTATAATAATATTTCAATTAATTAAAAATATAATTATTTCATTCAATTGGAATATATTTTTTATAAATTATATTATATAACGATTATTAATATTTGATTATATTATAATATATTTATAGTATAATAATAATATATATAATACTATAATAATATACTAATCATATACTATAGTATAATGCCTTCAGGTTCAAAATTCGTGCTACTATATAATTTTTGTCGGTAAAAGATCGTTCTAAACAATAAATTCATAAAGAACTATCATGCATGAACAAAGTATTCCAAATAGTCACTTCCAAATACAAGACGAATTTTAAACTTGAACAGTAGTATAATACTACCATTGATTGATGCAATCGAGTTGTGAATTTGCAGTACATCAATAGTAAGCTGCTTCTATTTACCCATAGACCGACAGAGATAAGAATATTGCCTAACAGCACACCGTCCGAACGACAACAAAATAGCATCGGGCATGTCTAAGCTACCGAAAAGAATGAAAGATAGACAGGAGTGTCGACTTACTCCTTTGCAAAAATATATCTTTTGGGATTAGTTTCTGTCTTCTAGTTCTACGAAAGTTCTACATTGTTGAGATTATTCTTGGGTGATGCAAGCAGCATTTATTATTCAACAAAACATAGTTATCAAGAACATATATGTATTTTATACGATGCACTAGGTAGAACAATAAAGATAAAGCGTGCAAGAAGAGAGAGCAGCTGTAGAAACATTGCAGACAAATCTCTGTAAGACAGCAGAATATTTTAGAAACAATAGGATATATTAAATATAGATGAAGAAATAATTGAAATATATTTTCAATACTTAACATATCTACATTATATTTCATATTTTTTCCACGATGATCAACTAATATTACTTCAATTGAGAAATAGTTATGTTGTTGAAACATAAGTACACAGTAGAGCCTCTATTATCCAAATGGAGGATATTATCAGAATCTCATGTAAACAGTTCAATCTAGAGCGTATCATATACAAAATAAACGATATACTATATAAATCATTAAAGATTTCATCTAGTTCTACATATAACTAAACAATTAGTCTATTATTCGAACATGTACGCCTTCCTGCTTAATTTTAGTAGCCGAGGTTCCACTGTACACAATTTATATGAATTTGCTATGTCTTATGATACTTGTGGACAGAAGTGTATATAATCTTTCAAAACAGAAGTTACAAATGAAGTATTATACATATAACATAGTACTTATTGACCTACCTGCCTAATGAAATCATCCAGTCAACAAGCTGAATCTCATTGCATATTTCATTTCTGCAAGACAGATCTGATTTCTACGGCGGCAGGTAGATCTGATAGTTTACTTAGTCACTAACTCTCCTATTAAATCATCTTCCGACAAGATTGAATCTCATTGCTTATTTCATCCCTGCAGGTGTAAACTTGATAATCGATTTATCGATTGGTCCTTATAACAAAGTCATTTTTTCACAAAGTCAAACGCAATTGCTTATTTCAATTCCGTAACTTTTTTGACAACTCACTCATCAACCGCGACCCTGGTGGTAAAGTCACAGTATAAAATAACCCAATTGTTTTTTTTCTAATTTCTGTAGCAGGATAGATCAGTGACACCTCCAGGAGCATCGCACCGGCCACCGAGCGCGGATCCAGCGTCGGCGGCGGGTCTTGAACCACCTTGGGGCTCGTGGGCCTTGCCACCAGCGAGGGCCCCACCGCCGCCACCGTCGGATGACCCGCCGAAATCGACCCCCGTTCGCGAGTATCGGTGCAGTTATTGTGGCAAACAGTTCGGAATGTCCTGGAACTTGAAAACCCACCTACGAGTGCATACGGGCGAGAAACCGTTCGCGTGTAGACTATGCGTGGCCATGTTCAAGCAGAAGGCCCACCTGCTGAAGCATCTCTGTTCGGTGCACAGGGGGGTGATCGCAGCCCCCGACAACACGTTCACCTGTTGCTTCTGCTCGTTGAGCTTCGACAGCTTGCAGGAGCTGATCAGGCATTTGTCGGGGCCGCACAACAACCTGCTGCTCAGCAAGAACCTGCACGACTAGCGACAAGGCTAAGGCCGCACCGGTGTCCGGGGAGTTCGAACGCGCGTCTCGACCGAACTCTCGAACCCTCGAATCCGCGTACCCAACGCCAGGTCGCCGATTCGAGCGGTCTCGAAACGCTGTCTGACCACCGAGCACGAGTGCCTTCGAAAATTCACTAATCGCGACAAGCTAGCTAGCCGTTCCCAGTATTCGCGCTCCTCGACTCAGCATTTCTCTTCTGTTGCTTTTAACGTGAAATCGTTGGTCTGGATATTGATCTCGAGATGCGAAGGCATTTACGCGTCCGCCTGGGAACCGCGAACCCTCCAAACGTTCTCGAAAAACGAAAGAAAGTATAAAAGCTGTTCCAGAGGTGGAGGAGGAAGAGGGCGCGCGGTCGAACGTTTCGTAAATGTTTGGAGTGCGCGTCGCGTGTCGCCGGCTGTTGTTTTTCTTCGCGAAGAGAACGGTGATCGCGTGTAAACCGAGATAATATAGGGAGAGGGAAATGCGCCGAATTAAAATGCTTCTGGCTGTGCACTCGACGGGAACTGTATCTGTATAGCAAAATATCTGCGTTTCTTACGGAGGAGACAGCCACACGGGTACCGGAAGGGCCTTCGCCGGTAGCGTTAGACCGCGATACTTCGTCGACGCGACGGTCGACGGCCACCATTTATTGTAATAAGCGATGACCAGTAACTCTGACCAAATAACATATTTCCGACGGTCGACGACAGGCGGAAGTGTGTCGGGTATGTTGACGGTCTCCACGGGGAAACGTTGTGAACGGGAAACCGTTAGGACGGCGACGACCACGAACAGTGAGAAAATTCATAATCTTTGTACTTGTCGCGTATCGCTCGTTTTCGATGTGATTCCCAACGTTTCCCGGCCGCGATCACGCGACACTGACAAGAGGACGTCTCGTTTACCTCAGCGCGTGCGCGCGCGCGCGCATAAACACACGCACAAAACACGCACACAACACAACACATCCACACAATACACACACACACACACACACACACANAGGCGCTGCTCACGGAGAACAGGGAGAGCAATATAGAACCGCCCCGAAGGAGGGATAGCTCCGATCCTGTGAACCTCAGTTTAAATTCCGGGACCTCCACTACCAGCGAAAGTTCGCACGACATTCTACCTAGGTACGAATGGCAGTCTCTCGTGCCTAAAAGGCAGTCTCCTAGAGTCCCAGGATATCTTGATATTTGTCAGATCGGTGTCTAGCTTGAAGTACATGGAATTGATCATTTATTCCTCGACAGGCCAGAAAAACAGTTATTAGAGAGGCGAGAAAATATATTACAAAAATATATTGTTATTTATTAGTTATTTTATTTATAGTTATTTACACAGTTATTAGATGCCTAAAAGGCAGTCTTCTAGAAGTCCCAGGATATCTTGATATTTGTCAGATCGGTGTCTAGCTTGAAGTATATGGAATTGATCATTTATTCTTCGACAGGCCAGAAAAAACAGTTATTAAAGAGGCGAGAAAATATATTACAAAAATATATTTTTATTTATTAGTTATTTTATTTATAGTTATTTACACAGTTATTAGATGCCTAAAAGGCAGTCTTCTAGAAGTCCCAGGATATCTTGATATTTGTCAGATCGGTGTCTAGCTTGAAGTATATGGAATTGATCATTTATTCTTCGACAGGCCAGAAAAAACAGTTATTAAAGAGGCGAGAAAATATATTACAAAAATATATTTTTATTTATTAGTTATTTTATTTATAGTTATTTACACAGTTATTAGATGCCTAAAAGACAGTCTCCTAGAAGTCCCAGGATATCTTGATATTTGTCAGATCGGTGTCTAGCTTGAAGTATATGGAATTGATCATTTATTCTTCGACAGGCCAGAAAAAACAGTTATTAAAGAGGCGAGAAAATATATTACAAAAATATATTTTTATTTATTAGTTATTTTATTTATAGTTATTTACACAGTTATTAGATGCCTAAAAGGCAGTCTCCTAGAGTCCCAGGATATCTTGATACTTGTCAGATCGGTGTCTAGCTTAAAGTATATGGAATTGATCATTTATTCCTCGACAGGCCAGAAAAACAGTTATTAGAGAGGCGAGAATCTCTAGAGGAAGTGGAAGAGAAGAGGAGACAACTGACGGCGCGACTCGCGTTAGGCTTAGAACCAGGAAAGCGGAAACCAGAAGAAATACCTATCCCACCTGCGGAGGCGTACGTCGTCACTCCCCATCGGAAACGAAGGCCAGGCTTTCACAATGCACCCGCTCAGAATCCGGCTTTCGTACCGTTCAATCCTGGATTCGAGACGCCGAGGCGGTTACAAGCGCCACATCCTCTCAGTGTCTCGGCACCACCGTACCTGGTACTAATTTTTGATGACATCTAACTAGCTTTGCGACGAGGACTCATTGCTTGAGAAGTGCGCACGCTATATAGAAGGAAACGCGAAAATTTCATCGCATTATATCCGGGGACCAAACATAACTGTTCGAAGAATATTTTTGGAAAAATTAATTAAGACGAAAACGTGTTCATTAGCTGGAACTATCGATCACGAAATACAAAAGATTAATAGATTTCAATTTTGTATTACAAATAATAATTAAAATTAAACAATAATCATTATCCGATGTTGTATATTTTGTTTCAGTCACTTATGATTAGGCTGCGAATTTTATGCATTTATGGTAAACTGGGTAGATTAAATTTGAAGCATTTCAAACTCTACTGTTGTATCATGTTCAACTCGTTAAGATTATTAAGCAAAGAAATATATACATCTAACTCGGCTATTTTACGATTGATACAGATAATTGTTATTTCGCAAAAAAATCCACAGTCATAATAATTTTCAATGTAGAAAATTTATTCAAATTTAGCAATCTATGTGTATAATAGTTTTATACAAGTATCAAGTACATGAAACTATACATGAATCTATGAACTATACATGCTGCACTAAAATAACAAGACTTTTAAGCAAGACTGTGCAAGCATTCGAGTTGTAGATACTTCTAACCTCTATGTAGATACTTCTAAAATTTCATGCAATGCTCACAGGAGAGTCGATCAATAGTCTAACTTTTGTTTTGAGAGGTCTATATCTTCATCAGATAGTGACTATCAGTATTAGTTTTAATATGCTGCAAGTTTCAACTAGATTGCATCAGCCAATCATATACTATAGTATAATAATATTTCAATTAATTAAAAATATAATTATTTCATTCAATTGGAATATATTTTTTATAAATTATATTATATAACGATTATTAATATTTGATTATATTATAATATATTTATAGTATAATAATAATATATATAATACTATAATAATATACTAATCATATACTATAGTATAATGCCTTCAGGTTCAAAATTCGTGCTACTATATAATTTTTGTCGGTAAAAGATCGTTCTAAACAATAAATTCATAAAGAACTATCATGCATGAACAAAGTATTCCAAATAGTCACTTCCAAATACAAGACGAATTTTAAACTTGAACAGTAGTATAATACTACCATTGATTGATGCAATCGAGTTGTGAATTTGCAGTACATCAATAGTAAGCTGCTTCTATTTACCCATAGACCGACAGAGATAAGAATATTGCCTAACAGCACACCGTCCGAACGACAACAAAATAGCATCGGGCATGTCTAAGCTACCGAAAAGAATGAAAGATAGACAGGAGTGTCGACTTACTCCTTTGCAAAAATATATCTTTTGGGATTAGTTTCTGTCTTCTAGTTCTACGAAAGTTCTACATTGTTGAGATTATTCTTGGGTGATGCAAGCAGCATTTATTATTCAACAAAACATAGTTATCAAGAACATATATGTATTTTATACGATGCACTAGGTAGAACAATAAAGATAAAGCGTGCAAGAAGAGAGAGCAGCTGTAGAAACATTGCAGACAAATCTCTGTAAGACAGCAGAATATTTTAGAAACAATAGGATATATTAAATATAGATGAAGAAATAATTGAAATATATTTTCAATACTTAACATATCTACATTATATTTCATATTTTTTCCACGATGATCAACTAATATTACTTCAATTGAGAAATAGTTATGTTGTTGAAACATAAGTACACAGTAGAGCCTCTATTATCCAAATGGAGGATATTATCAGAATCTCATGTAAACAGTTCAATCTAGAGCGTATCATATACAAAATAAACGATATACTATATAAATCATTAAAGATTTCATCTAGTTCTACATATAACTAAACAATTAGTCTATTATTCGAACATGTACGCCTTCCTGCTTAATTTTAGTAGCCGAGGTTCCACTGTACACAATTTATATGAATTTGCTATGTCTTATGATACTTGTGGACAGAAGTGTATATAATCTTTCAAAACAGAAGTTACAAATGAAGTATTATACATATAACATAGTACTTATTGACCTACCTGCCTAATGAAATCATCCAGTCAACAAGCTGAATCTCATTGCATATTTCATTTCTGCAAGACAGATCTGATTTCTACGGCGGCAGGTAGATCTGATAGTTTACTTAGTCACTAACTCTCCTATTAAATCATCTTCCGACAAGATTGAATCTCATTGCTTATTTCATCCCTGCAGGTGTAAACTTGATAATCGATTTATCGATTGGTCCTTATAACAAAGTCATTTTTTCACAAAGTCAAACGCAATTGCTTATTTCAATTCCGTAACTTTTTTGACAACTCACTCATCAACCGCGACCCTGGTGGTAAAGTCACAGTATAAAATAACCCAATTGTTTTTTTTCTAATTTCTGTAGCAGGATAGATCAGTGACACCTCCAGGAGCATCGCACCGGCCACCGAGCGCGGATCCAGCGTCGGCGGCGGGTCTTGAACCACCTTGGGGCTCGTGGGCCTTGCCACCAGCGAGGGCCCCACCGCCGCCACCGTCGGATGACCCGCCGAAATCGACCCCCGTTCGCGAGTATCGGTGCAGTTATTGTGGCAAACAGTTCGGAATGTCCTGGAACTTGAAAACCCACCTACGAGTGCATACGGGCGAGAAACCGTTCGCGTGTAGACTATGCGTGGCCATGTTCAAGCAGAAGGCCCACCTGCTGAAGCATCTCTGTTCGGTGCACAGGGGGGTGATCGCAGCCCCCGACAACACGTTCACCTGTTGCTTCTGCTCGTTGAGCTTCGACAGCTTGCAGGAGCTGATCAGGCATTTGTCGGGGCCGCACAACAACCTGCTGCTCAGCAAGAACCTGCACGACTAGCGACAAGGCTAAGGCCGCACCGGTGTCCGGGGAGTTCGAACGCGCGTCTCGACCGAACTCTCGAACCCTCGAATCCGCGTACCCAACGCCAGGTCGCCGATTCGAGCGGTCTCGAAACGCTGTCTGACCACCGAGCACGAGTGCCTTCGAAAATTCACTAATCGCGACAAGCTAGCTAGCCGTTCCCAGTATTCGCGCTCCTCGACTCAGCATTTCTCTTCTGTTGCTTTTAACGTGAAATCGTTGGTCTGGATATTGATCTCGAGATGCGAAGGCATTTACGCGTCCGCCTGGGAACCGCGAACCCTCCAAACGTTCTCGAAAAACGAAAGAAAGTATAAAAGCTGTTCCAGAGGTGGAGGAGGAAGAGGGCGCGCGGTCGAACGTTTCGTAAATGTTTGGAGTGCGCGTCGCGTGTCGCCGGCTGTTGTTTTTCTTCGCGAAGAGAACGGTGATCGCGTGTAAACCGAGATAATATAGGGAGAGGGAAATGCGCCGAATTAAAATGCTTCTGGCTGTGCACTCGACGGGAACTGTATCTGTATAGCAAAATATCTGCGTTTCTTACGGAGGAGACAGCCACACGGGTACCGGAAGGGCCTTCGCCGGTAGCGTTAGACCGCGATACTTCGTCGACGCGACGGTCGACGGCCACCATTTATTGTAATAAGCGATGACCAGTAACTCTGACCAAATAACATATTTCCGACGGTCGACGACAGGCGGAAGTGTGTCGGGTATGTTGACGGTCTCCACGGGGAAACGTTGTGAACGGGAAACCGTTAGGACGGCGACGACCACGAACAGTGAGAAAATTCATAATCTTTGTACTTGTCGCGTATCGCTCGTTTTCGATGTGATTCCCAACGTTTCCCGGCCGCGATCACGCGACACTGACAAGAGGACGTCTCGTTTACCTCAGCGCGTGCGCGCGCGCGCGCATAAACACACGCACAAAACACGCACACAACACAACACATCCACACAATACACACACACACACACACACACACACACAGACAAACACACACGCACGCATACAATCTCACATGTAAATAACGTTAATGTTAATAGTAGGAAACAAAGCGGACGGATAACGATTTTATTTATTTTACACTTTGCAAAGGGACCAACCGATTTTCCACCGACTTCTGTCTTAGCTAGATATTAGGTGACCTGCCCCGTCAATCGCCTCGAATCGAATGTCAAAATTCCTGTCCAAAGGACGAACCCATCGGTCATCGGCGTTGCCCCGATCCCCTCGGAGAGGAACATTTTACCGGCGAGTCGCGATATCCCGGGTGAAACGCGACGACGTTCTCGTCGCGTCGGACAAAACGTTGCTGATGTTCTTCCACGGAAAATCCTCGTCTTCCATTGCATCGATCGGTCGATCCTTCTCTCCATTCCCCAGCAACCCCGCATTTTGTCCTGTACACTTTGTTCGTTCGGAAAACAAAACAAAACAAAAAAACAAACAAAAACGCACAGAGGAAAAGATGAAACCGAAATGAAGCGAAGCAAAGCAAGAAACATGTTTGGTAAACTCAGCGACTCGAGTGCCTTGTCAAATGGGTCCAAATTGGTCGATTGGGCAGTGATTTCATGTGTTCATAGGCTTAAGATACGTACACGTGTAAGATGACGAATACGAGCTCGCTTAGGAATTGAAGGAAACGTTAATCGATCCCGCGTAGAATGTTTTTGAATATCACTCGAATTAATCCAAGTTTCGTTAGGGTCTTAGATAGAGAACATTTTTTAAGTAGTAGCTTCTTGTTTCTGTAATAATTCCTCTCTTTACGTTTTATTATATTATTTTTTTTTTCTCTCGTTGGCGCAGGACGTCATTTCTCTTTTTTAGGTAGGTATTATTACCTAAGGTGCCTTGAAGAAGGGCCTCAACCTCTTTTTAACACCTTCAACCACGAACGGAAACCATTCGACGTTTACGGCATGTCATCGTGTTTTATTATATAAATACATTCCACCACATCGGACAAGCGATAATCGCCGGCAAGCCGATTCGTTTTAAGCAGTTCGACGAAATTGTTATGTTCAACGATTGTTGAGAAATACACGGATTCATTTTTCCAAGCAAGTTCTCTCCTTCCTTTCTGACGGCAATCTGCGGGACCACTCTCGTGTCCCGGATGCGCAAAAGGATGGTAAAAAGAGGTTCGAGGGGTGGTGTGCGCTCTCATTAAGCCAGACAAAACACGGCCAGCACAAAACAGTGAACGCAATGTGATACTAAATGATAATAAAGATAAAGTAATTATTATTTAGCGTGCGACGCCTCGGCGAATGGCACGAGCGCAATCCGCGGCTCCGTCAGGAAAAGACTCTGGCTCCTATCTGGTGGAAGACCGATCCTTTTTCCTGCGAGCCGCCCGAATAACTTTTAGTGACCAACGTTTCGTCGTTTCTCTCTTTATCAGCCCCTTTTCTTCCTCGAAATCCCGATCCAAACCCCCTCGTCCCCCTCTTCTCGAGTCGTAAGTGCACTAGGGTTACGTATACAGATTATTTTACCGTTCATTAGTTACGTTTATCTCGCGTATGCATACACGCGCGCTCGCGGCCAGATGTCGGAGAAGGACGCAATCGTCTTTTCGAAAGATTTTCAAAGCACGCGGGTCTTCGAGGACCCTTGACTCGATCGGGACGGAGCGACGGTATGGAGAGAGAATCAGATTCTCGGCGAGCACGCGCGCGGAACAGTCATTTTTTCGCGGACCGAGCGGCTCGCGGGCTGGTTATGCTTCCGTGTAACAATGCAAACTGCTAGGGACAAGTCCGACGATTTTTCTCTGTCGTAGAACTCGTATCGAGTGACTCGGGGCTTCGTTCCACTGCGAATCGCCGCGGGCATGGCGCTCGATCGGCCGCGAGCCGTCTCACACTCGAGGATTTTCAAATTTTAGCAATTTCATGTTCTTTTCGATAGAAAACCACTCGCCTTTCGTTGTCGTCAAGTGTTACACCCCTCTTTGGCTCTGCAAACGTTGCCGTTCAAAACGTGTTCCGTCCTTCGGACATTTGGCCAGAGTTTCGTAGATTTTAAGCATCTTCCGAGCGGATACCGTTTCCGCGTGCTTTCTTAGTGTTCATAGGTTTACAAAAAATAAATTAATTCAAACAACACGTGCGTAACGATGACGAATCAACCGCCCGTAACCACCCGGTCTCTGGCCGTATCCTTTCCCTTTACTCGCTGAACAAGTTTCCCTCTCGTTAAATAGTTAATTAACACGGTCATGGCGGTCGTTTGTGCTGAAAACGATGAAACAGGATATTCTCGGATTGCGGATTCTGCTGATCCTTTCGGTTTTTACCACAGTTTCTATTTATAACCTTTCACAGCGTGCAGAAACATTTTTGGGAGAAATAGCAATCTTTCTTTTCTGTTCTGTTTATATATTAAACATTTTTCTAAGCATTGAGAATTAATAACGATTTAATGAAATTAAAGAGATGCGTGCAAGAGATGACGTAGGCGATTTGATTTTATAGTATTCCTGGTTTTTAATTATAATTAGTAAATATAAAAATCGTCTTTCTTCAATATATATAAATATGCAAATATT